TCTAATCATAAATCGTATATATTCGTAGATAAAAAATGAATATTAATCTTAATCTTGATCTTATAACACATTATTAAGTATAAAAAACTGTGTGGACTCACCACAATATAACAGATTGCTAGAACAGGCCAAAGAATGATCAGAGCTATGCAGACGATGATATTCCACGCAGAACCACGTTGCTGTCGTCCTGGGAATCCCTCATACCAGATCGAAGTGAGCAGTTGTTGGCAATGTGGATGGGAGACGAACTAAAAGGAACATAAAATTTGCTTGAACCTTGAAAAAGGTTCATCCTTCAAAAAGGACGCGTTAGGCGTAGCAGCATAGAGAATTTGGGCTCCGACCAACGCTGTGAGCATACACTTTTAAGTTCTCATTTAGGGAGAGAAAGAAGCCTACTTTCACTTGAAGGGGAGAGTAAGATGAATCCCCAAGTATAGATTTTGGTCATTCAAAGCCAGGCATCGCGATCGATTGAGGGCGGTGCAGTTTTGATGGCGTCACGGAACGCTATTGGTGGATTGGGCTGAGACCTCTCAGCGCGCTGGAGCCGTGTTTGAGATCCATTGGACGCCTTTCCACCAATAACGTTCAACGTCATCATCAGAACCCGCCCTGCAGCCACGCGATCACTGCCTAGTTACACAAATCTCAATCCATTAATGGCACTGAGAGTTTGACACCAATAGCTCCACCCTTCCCTTCCCTCCTTACCGAATGTGGTCACCTATGTCCTACGCCAATCCTTTATTTGCAGTAGCGCATAGACCATACACAAATAACTTTTTCCAGTTTAGTGACCTGTGATAAACACTAGACAAGCCCAAGTACTCGATGACAAATAGCCCAAAAATATTGGTCCGATTTTGAGTTTTTGAGCTCCTCCTTGAGCTTTGAGTAAACGCAGTTGTGATAGAGCTCCGAGAATAGATGAGTAACTATTAGCTGATAAAAAATGTGTTAAAATCTCCCTGTACCCGAAGTCCGCCATGGTTGTAGAGTATCCACTATGGTACTGACCTAGGTCGCTCCCTAGCGCTCGCGTGTCCGCGCTATGTACTCTGGCCTAGTGTTACGCTACGTAGCGTCGCCTATTGTTGCTTTTCCTATGCTTATGGCATTTTTTTGCAACCTCGCCAAAACGGTTGAACACTCCAATACAGTCCCGTAACCTGACAAACAACATACGGTTTTGCTTATGGTTAGTCGCGCCACGGTGAGGATACCGCGATGAATTTTAGCGAAACCTCGTGCCAAAAACCAGGAAGGAGCTTTCTCCAATCGGTTCTTGAATGAAGCTCATACGTATTATTTTCATGAGCATAACAAAATGGTACGGCATTAGAGGGTGCCTATAGGTTTTATTATTCTCCCACTTTTTTCCTTGCAACCGCATCCGAACTGCTGAATAATGTCGAATCTATGGTGAATTCGAATTTCAAAGAGCTAAGAGAAGTCGGAAGTTTTCTACTGGGTTCAATATTACAACCGCTTCAGTATCTGCAGTGCCCCTACTTCCGAAGAATGCTTGTAGGAATAACTCACAGCTTTCTGTTCGTATTTGATGGCCAGCTTCAGACGTGATAAACTCAGTTTCGACGCCCACACGTCCACGTTCTCGTCGTGTGTGTTGTAGTCCTTGTTCAGTACGGCTATCACCTTAAAATGGCAGTTTTTGGATGTGCACGTTTTCCCTTCGGTCTAGTTAGTTGAATTCATTGACTCACCTCTTCACTACTCCGACACTGACTGATGAGATCACATGCGAACTGCTTACATTGTTCAGCAAGCTAAAATTATAGCAAATTATAGCTTACGATTAACTCTTTAATCCGCGCTTTTCCATTACTGTCCCGAAAATCACTCTTGCAGACACATTGTGCTTTGTCGTGTTATTTAGAAGTGAAAAAAGCTTAAGACAGTAAATCAACCATGAAGCAAAAACCTAACGTAGAGCTCTGAACCTGAAGGTACGTCTCTTTGAACTCGTGCTCCACGGCTGACAAATGTTGTAGCTCCCAACTGAGTTTGAAAGCAGAAAGAATAGGATCCGGGCTAGAATAGAAGTAACTTCAAATTTGAAACAAGAAAACGAATATGTAAACCTCTTATTTTACTCTGGATATGTTTTCGAGAGGATCATTCAAACTTTGAAATGATATGCCCATATATATTATATTTTTATTATTCAATATTCACTACTACAATTTTTTGGGCGCTATCGTAAGATACGGAGTACTGTGGTGGTAATGCGTTCAAAACCGCGCTAGAAATCCCTCCATTGTGAGGGGAGACTAAGCCTCTGGCTGAGGAGAAACCAGGGTGCCTCAGCATTTTTATTTTCCGTTTCCACCGGAGTTCTTGCCCCCTCCT